TGAGCATTAAAGTACCACTTTTCCACTTCCAAATCCCGTTCAATTTATGTAATTGAAAAATTAATTAATTGAATTTTATTTAACTTTTACTTAAGGTGCGCAAAATAATATTTTTTTAATTAGATATTTAATTAAATGTTTGATTTAATTAGATAATATATATATAATATTAATTATTATTATTATTAATAATTCAATTGTGAGAGGTTAATACATATTAAATATTGTAATTATAGGTTGCATAAAAATTCGGCTTATTAGAGAAAACTTATTGAGAATTCTAATATTTGACTAATTAAATATTTTATAACATTTTAACTTATAGTGGGGGTAAAATGGTAATCCAACTTTGAAGTTAAAAGCTTCCCACTTTTAATAATATATGATATGATGATATATGATATGATATGATATGATGTGATGATATATGATATGATATGATGATATATAGATTATTATTATTTTTATATATTATCTATTATCTGAGTAGAACACTAATAAATCCAATCTTTACATTTCAAATAAGACGATCATTAGTACCTGTTTGATAAAAAAAATATATCACTTTATTTGAAAATCGTGATTTGATTATGAAATTTCAAAATACGATTTGAAGTTGTATTCTCAATATTTGAAAATTAACTTATAATCTATTTTCAACTAAATTTTCATTTACAGTTGAATACATTTAAGCATGAAAAATTTAGAATTTTATTTAATGATAATTTGTGAAGTATAGAAATGTACATATGTATTTTGTTAATAATTTGAGACTGTTTAGAGGAGATTTTATTTAGTAGAGATTGAATTTTTTTTATCTGAGTAAGTTGAACTCATGTAATGTACAAATTTTATATAAATAGTATATATGAACGAATATACATATCTAATATATAACTTTTACATAATTATATAACATTTGTAAAATATCAATACATTACCTATAAAAAAAATTGTCACTTGCATATATACTTACGATTATTACTTTTTTTTTCTTTTTTTATTAGTAATTTAAAAAGAAATCTATTTTATTGTTAATTGTTACGTTTAGAAATCTAATGCTATGGTCCTTTTAGTACATAATTTTTTATTTTTTATTTTTAAAAAATGGAACTGAGGGATCATTATGCAAATATTAATCAAATATTTTTAAAATGATGAATATAGGTTAAGACGGTGACATTAAAAAAGTAATATTTGTGCACTTGACACATAAAAACAATATTCGAAGGAATAAGTGTAGGAATTTGCTGTCCATGTTACACCTATTAATTGATTGTTTATTTAACAACCCAAATGAGGCATTCTAGAACATCAGTAAAGACGTGTCCACCCAATAGAAAATATATGAGAAATTAAGTGTTTTTTTTTCAAAAAAAAGAGAGGAGATATTATGAGAAATATTATGCGGTGTAAAGAAATATTTATCAAATCACTCTCATATATATTTAAAAAACTAGACCCTCTGTGCTAGCGGAAGATCAATATCTGTTATATTTTTGTTTCAATTTATGTGATATACATAACATTTAAAAAAATTATAAAAAATTAAATATAATTTTTAAATATTTTAAGTTGTTAATTATTGTGATTTATAATATTTCTTACTCAAATTAATTATAAATTTACTCAAATATTAAGGACATTCAAAATAATAAGTTATAACTTATAACTAAAGGATATAACTTTAAAATTAAAAACATAATTAAAGTGGGTCTCATAATTACTTTTTATGGGTTAATAATTTCAAAAAAATTATATACAAACTAAATTAAATTAGATTATTTTTTTTAAAAAAAAATGCTTATTGAAGCAGATCCGACCATAAGAACCTACCTGCTTCAACGTCAACCATCACTTATATATAAGTAAATTATATATATATATATATACCAAAATAAAAATATTTATACTCACATATGAGTTTATGTGTATAACATAAACTCATATAAAAAATATAATTAGATGATTCGAAATGGATTCCTGACTCATGTTAAATTTGTTTAGACTTCCATTTTTTGTTTCCTTGACAGACTCTGCTCTCCTATTTTTTAAAGCATTAGAAGAGATTTAAAGATTTGTTTGGTGTGAGCCATAATACAGTAACACAGTAAAAAGAGGATACACATAATCCATACATTTTATTTCAAATTTATTATTTTTCATTCCTAGTAACAAACGATCCCCATGAATAGTTCATGTGTAGTGTCCTGCTTCCTCCGTTTACTTTTACTTTTCATTTATTTTTAAAATAGATTTTCATTTTTATTTATCACTTTTGACATATCAAGAAAATATAAAATAAAAATTCTTCATATTTTACTATAAATACTATTCTTCAAATCATTTTCTAAGACCTAATAAAACATCAATTAATAGGGATAGTACGATAAAATACTATATCAATAATTATTTTTTAATAATATCTCAAGTCAAATAGTGACAAGTAAAACTGAACGAGAGTATAATTAAAGAGTTTGCCACCCTCGTACTTTCTAGGTAACTTGCCTTGTTAATCGTCTTCTAGATAGAGTTGAAGGTTTATTCATTTCCACTGCTTCCTCTTCTACAATTTTTATGATATATATTTTCACGTTAAAAAATATAATACTTTTTTATTAAACTTTTTATTTTTATTATTACGATGATTTATAATCACATGTATATGAATATAACTTATTTTAAATTTAATTTATAATTTTCATTTCTTACAAGAAAAATATTTTCTTGGTCAAACATCATCATAATCAGACGAAGAAATATATATGTTCGTTTTCATCACGCATGACGAAGAAATCAATGACCAATTGGCTTCATGCCTTATTCTACCTCTGAAAATCACTTTCACAAACCAATATTCTTTAATATATTTTCCATACATGGCATTAGTATAGCCGCCTCATGACGTATTCTTAAAGAAGATGATTCAAATTGACATCATTTTTTAAAATAAAAAACTTAGCTTTTCATTTTCCTTTCGTTTTTAGCCATCATATTATATTATATTAATATTATTACAACCCTTTTGTCTATTAAAACCAACTCATCAATATTACCAATTCCACAAATTACACAAACCTTCTCTGTTTCTATGGATACTACTACTAGTTTGAGAGTTTTGATGTTTCCATGGTTGGCTCATGGACATATCTCTCCTTACTTAACTGTCTCTAAAAAACTTGCTGATCGCGGATTTGATATCTTACTTTGTTCTACGCCGGTTAATCTCAATCTTATTAAGAAAAGGATTCCGAAAAAGTACTCTGTTTCGATTCAGCTTGTTGAACTCTGTCTACCGGAATTGCCTGATCTTCCTCCAGAATATCATACAACAAATGGACTTCCACCTCATCTCAACTCGACTCTCAAAAAGGCTGTCAAAATGTCCAAACCTGGATTTTCAAAAATCTTACGAGATTTGAAACCTGATTTGGTAATCCATGATGTATTGCAAGTATGGGCAAAGGAAATTGCAAATTCATATAATATTCCAGCAATTACACTTGTAACTTTTGGTGGAGCTGTTCTTTCTTACTTTATGCATCCAATGAGAAAGCCAGGGATTGAGTTCCCTTTCCCAGCTATTTATCTGACGAAAATCGAGCAAAAACGAATGCGAGAAATGATGGAACAAGTTGGTAAAGATAAGGATCCTGATGATGGTGATCCTTTCGCTGAAGATCCTACGCAAGTTATATTGTTGATGAGTACTTCATTGTCAATTGAGTCCAAATACATTGATTACCTGAATGAATTGACCCAAGCAAAATACGTTCCAGTTGGTCCTCCAATCCAAGAACCTATGAATGAGGATGATGGGGATATCGAACTTATTGATTGGCTAGGAAAGAAAGAAGAACATTCAACTGTATTTGTCTCCTTTGGAAGCGAGTATTTCTTGACCAAGGAAGACATGAAAGAGATAGCTTATGGATTGGAACATAGCAATGTTAATTTCATATGGGTTGTAAGGTTTCCGAAGGGGGAAGAAGTCAATCTTGAAGAAGCACTACCAACAGGTTTTCTTGAAAGAATTGAAAACAGGGGAAGGGTTGTTAATGGATGGGCACCACAACCAAGAATTTTAAGCCATCCAAGCACAGGAGGATTCGTAAGTCATTGTGGTTGGAATTCGGTAATGGAAAGCATAGATTTTGGTGTGCCAATAATAGCCATGCCTATGCACATTGATCAGCCAATAAATGCAAGATGGATGGTGGAAATTGGAGTAGCTGTAGAGATTGTTAGAGATGAAGAAGGGAAGGTTCACAGAGAAGAGGTGGCACAAGTAATCACAAGTGTGATTTGTGAGAAAACAGGGGGAAATTTAAGGGAGAAAGTTAAGGAAATAAGTGAAAAATTGAAGTCCATAAGAGAAGAAGAAATGGATGCAGCCGTTGAAGTGCTATTACAACAATGCAAAAACAGCAAGTTCATTGATTTTTCTAGCTAGTATAAAAAATTGGATTAGTAAATTACTCTCTTGTTCTTTCTTATTTGTCTTAATTTTCTTTTTCACAATCAAATGATATGAATTTTAATCAACATTTTAAGACATTTTTTTTTTATCATATTGTTAGGAGGAAGATTGCAAAAATTTGAAAATCAAAATGTTGAACTAACTAGATGCGAGTGATTCAACATAAATTATGTATAATCATGTTGTAAGGTGTGATATCCATACCAAATGATGAGAAATCAAATTTGGTTTCCAACGCATCGAACCATTGGTCAATCGGAGTATGGTACAAAAGGTTATGAGTGTTTTATGAAATTACCGTGCAAAAGTTGAAAATCCGTCCAAAAATAAAAATAGGGGTGACCCTGAAGAGTGAGAATGAGAGATAGGCAGGTCCTCGCCTTAGACTTCGCAGTGTGAGGCTAAGAGAAAGGCAAAACCTCGTTGTGGTCTTCACGGCATGAGACCCTGTGTAATGACTTGGTCGGTCATTTTTGGAAAGTTTCGTGAATTTACCATTTTTTCCCTCTCGATATCCACCTCGGGTAATTTACAATTTGAGTTTTGAAAATTGGTTTCGAACTTTGAGTTTAAAATTAAGAATTTGGTAAAATTTGAGTTTGAAAGGCTAATGTTGTTAAAAAAGAGGTTTTTGGTGTCTTTTGGAGTTTCGAGTGTCGAAATGGAATTTCGTCGATTCCATCAGTCTGGAAATGTGGATTTTGGTTTGTGAGAGTTGTTAGTAGCAGATTCGGAGTTCTTTTGAGGATTTGAGGTCCTAAGTTGTGAATTTGTGATAGTGTTCATTAACGATATCTTGGTGTACTCCAATTCCGAAGGGATCACGTTGACATCTGAGGATTGTACTCCAAAGGTTGAGGGAAGAGAAGTTTTATGCTAAGTTCTCAAAGTGCGAGTTTTAGCTTGATACCTTGGCATTTTTGGGACACGTGGTGTCCAAGGAGGGTATTCGGGTAGATCCAGCCAAAATTAGTGAGGGGTTGGACCAGACCTACGTCTGTACTGAGATCCGGAGTTTTGTGGAACTTGCAGGCTATTACAGACGATCCATGCAGAGCTTCTCCATTATTGCATCTCCTTTGACTAGATTGACTCGGTAGAGTGTGAGTTTCCACTAGTCTGATGAGTGTAAGGAGAGCTTCCAAAATTTCAAGACCTTATTGACTTCGACTCTTGTTTTGACTTTACCCGGGGAGGGTCTGGACTTTATTGTTTATTGTGATGCTTCTAGAGTCGGATTAAGTGGTGTGCTTATGTCACGACCCGAGCCTACACCCTGGACGTGACCGGTACTCGAGAACCATTGCTGGTCCCCAAACGAACCCTCATCCTAGCTGACTACAAGCGGAAGACTAACTCAAGCATACAAAGCTTAAAAACTAAATAAAATTCATTGAACTCAATTACAAATCTTTAACTCAAATGAATAACTCTGAATAAAATAATATATTCAACTCGCCATAAAATAAGCAACTTAAGTCTTTAAAACATTAAATTAACAAACTTCTGAAACTCTACTATCTATCTATGAAGCCTCCAATTGACAAAGATGGAAGTCGGGATAAGACCCACGACATCCTAACAACTGAAAGTAAATGGAATTCTCCGGAAGCAAGGAGGCTCACCATGGCTAACTCGAACTCTATGTGATATTAACGAAGCTTCTGTTGATGATCCTGAATACCTGTATCTGCATCATGAAACGATGCAGGCCAAATGACTTAGTACATGGAATGTATGAGCATGTAAGGGGAATTCGAAAGCATAACATAAGCTTGAACTTGATAAAAAGGAAACATACTTACCTATTCTAAAACTTACTCAACTCAAGGATACTCAAAGCTACTCAAACTCACTCAACTCAGAAGTACTCAAGGATAAGATACTCAACTCAGTAATAAGGTTCTCAACTTAGTGAAATGGGGCTCAACTCAACAATAAGTATTCAACTCAGTGAAATAAGGCTCAACTCAATTATCAGATACTTGACTCTGGGTACTCAACTTTGGATACTCAAACTCTAGATACTCAACTCAGTATACTCAACTGTGGATACTCAACTCAATATAAAGCAACAATATAGATGCAATATATATAGAAAGCTTTTAAAACAGTAGAAAGTAACTTAATGTATTGAAAAATACAATAGTAACTCAATTTGTATGCAATGATACATTATAACCTCTGTTTGTCTATGAAAATACAAAATAAACTCTATGTATATAAGAATACAAAATATCTCTATGGAAGTTTCTCTAACCGACAACCATCACTTTTGAGCTATGTGATGATACAACGTTTTGCCTCACGCTGCCAGGGTCGTCCTATACCTTGCCGAGGGTATTGAACCTGACTACTAAGTGGATCCACTAGTCTATGCTAAAAATCACTAAGGAATCATCTAAAAATTATGACCCTTTTCTACCCACGTTGGCTACATGATTTATGGGGGATGTGAGTTGTCTGAACTATCCCCCATATCAGTGCTCAATACTACTCCCAAAATATAACTAGCTCATATGTTTAAAAACATAACTCTTTTTGTGGTTTGAGATAATTACTCAAAAACTAGCCCAAAAGCTCTTTAGGAAATCAATGTTTCCTCTCTTGCTTAGATGTGAAAGCATTTACTCTTTACTGAAAAACTAGCTCAAAGGCTCTGTTGGAAATCGGTGTTTCCTTTCTTGTTTAATTGTGAAAACATTTATTCTTTGGGAATACATAGTCCCCATATACTCTTTTGAAGAAATGAACTTCACTCTTTACTCTTTACTCAACTCAAAACTCAAGTCTTAAAACAAGTTTAAAGCATTTGCAAAAGACTTTTTAAAATAGAGTTCATGTCGAATTATGGACGTCAACGACTCAATTCAAGGTTTTCAATAACCTAGAATTCAATACTTGGAACTCAAGAACTTCAATGATACTACTCATTTCAAGAACGCTCAACTCAGAGGGTTCATGCGGAATTATGAGCATGAACTACTCAACTCGAGGACTCAAAGATACTTCTCATCTCAAGATTGCTCGACTTATAGGGTTCATGTGGAGTTATGGGCATGAACTACTCGACTCAAGGACTTCATGGGTAACATATAATAGTCCCATGATTAGGAATATAATTCTACAAATAGGTTAGGAACTCAATACTCAAGACTTAGAACTTGAATGTAACTACTCCTCTCAAAGATACTCAACTTATAGAGTTCATGCGGAATTTATGAGCATGAACGACTCGACTATAGGGTCTACATAACAACATGGAACTCATGGATACAACTCTTCCCATTCTCATAATTACTTTCTCAGAACTTAGTTCAAATCGATAGTTGATCTCAAAGGATTCACAATTGAACTCAAAAGCTTTTTTGAACTCTACTCTTAACTCTCTCTTGAATGTGAATTATGAATTCAAGATTTATGATTCATGATATGAAGGATCTTGTGATGATAAAGTAGACTCATGAATACATTCTCCTCATCCTCATACTCACTTGCTCGAGTCTTGAAACAAGTTATTAGAAATTGTAGAAGACTCCTCAAAAAGACTAAAGGGAGTTTCTCAAAATGTTCGAAAGAACTCTCAAGACTCAACTCTTAGCTCTACCTTGAATTGGAATTATGAATTCAAGGTTATGATTGATGTTATTAATGATTTCTAGGTATTTAGAAGTAGCTTAGAGTAGTTAGAATCGAAAGGGAGTGAAGGTGCACTTTAAAAGAACTCAAACGGAGCAACCGACTACAAATTGGACGGGGCAGGTGACCCTGGTGCACTGAGTGGAGTGGGGCGCCAGCCCCTAAACTACAAAACATAATTTGGGGAGCAGTGGCTGGCGCGACGCGCCAAGCCCCAACCCAGAAAACCCGATGAATTTTTTTGCTCGTTTTCTCACCCTAACTCGCCTAGAATCTAACGGTTTCTTCCCCAATCACTTGGATTCGATTACATAACATAAGTACACTCTAATCTACTCATAACAGCCCTAAAAACACTCACTTTAATCTCAAGAAATCATCAAAAACCCCAACACAACAAGATTTAGGATGAACTTCAAGAACACTTCTCAAGAACTCATCAAGAACTCTAATCTTTCAACTTCAAGAATGAAATTTCGCTGAAAATAACATGATTGGTGTGTGGGTGAACAAACCCAACACTATGGAATCTTACATACCTCTTAAAGATTATACCCATGGCGAAAATCCGCAACAAAACGCAAGACTCTCGACGAACGCTTTGATCCTCTCCTCTTTTCTCTTCTTTTCTCTTCTTGAACTATCAACTAAAACCCTAGACATATATTAGGATTATAAAACTGAACCTAATAGGATTAGACCTTTAAAACCTTACTAAAAACGAAATAAATCTGATTTGGTAAGGAAAAGACAAAATTACCCCTTACTATTTTCGGGTAACTTTCCTTAACTGGACAACATGACTTCAAAAGAGCATATCTCACTCATCCGACCTCGAAACTTAGCAAACTCGGTGGCGTTGGAAATATAATTAAAAGACCTTTCATTTTCCATCTCATGGAACACCTACATCATCCTGTACTGAGAGTTATGGTTGTTTGAAGTTGACCCAAAACATAGAAGATCTTAGGAATGACTTCAATGAATTCTCTCTAGTTCTTCTTGGAACTCAAGGTGCTACATCTAGTGACCTTAACACTTAGGAAAAAAATTAAATTCCTTGGTAAAAACTTACTCACTACAAATAATGGTTCGAATCTTAGCTCAAAATTTTTTCCGAGTATTACCGCTTATGCAGAAAGGTAAGGTGATTGCATATTCCTCTAAACAATTGAAGACCCATGAGAGGAACTACCTTACTCATGATTTAGAGTTGACATACATGGTATTTTTGCTTAAGATATGGCGACAATATTCGTATGGAGTTCATTGTGAGGTCTTGACAAATCACCGGAGTCTTTAGTACATCTTCGGCCAAAGGGATCTGAACTTGAGGTAGCACAGATGGCTTGAGCTACTGACTACGATATCAGTATCTTGTATCATCCAAAAAAGGCCAACGTGGTGGCCGATGCTTTGAGTAGGAATACTTCTAGCATGGAAAGCCTTGTTGCTATTAGTGTGGAGGAGAGACCATTGGCTAGGGATGTTCAGAGGTTAGCCAGTAGTCTCGTCCGGCTGTACACGTGTTTGTCCAAGTAGTCAAACTGACTATTGTTCGTAGGTTACTCTCCATTGCAATTAAATCTGATTGGCCTCAACGTTAATAATGCATTTCTTCAAGGATGTCTCGATGAAGAGGTTTATATGGAGCAGTGTTTTCAAAAATGTTTTTGGGGTGAGTCTTAGGGTGAGTCTCGGGGCAGGGCGTATCAAAAACGCTTCGGGAAATAAATTAAAGACGTGGATCCATAAGGTGTAAGTTCTAAAATTTTAGGCGTAAGCCTTGAGCATAAAAACGTAAGTCCTGGGCGTAAAAACGTAGTCCCATGCATTTTGAATTTACTTTTTTGAACCTTTTTTGCTTTCAATCATATTTTTTATTATTGGTGTAATGATATTTATCAATACTTTTTTTTCTTCATTATTGATTATTAATACTTATCTCAAATAAAAATCATAATATAATTTCTATATATTATAGGTTATTTACAAAAAAATATTTGTAAAATAATTGAAACGTTTACTTTTGCTTATTTTATTAGTAATAACACTATAAAATTTATACATGAGACTACGCCCCGTGTCTCGGGGCTTATGCCTCACCCTGTACTATATAAAAATGCGTCCTCACGCCCCCGCCTTTGAAAACACTGATATGAAGCAACCTCAAGATTTGGATATAAGACTTGTCCAACCTATATTTGTCATCTTCATAAAGCTATTTACGGACTCAAACAAGCTCCTTGGGGGTGGTACAATGAACTCAAGAATCATTTCTCTTGATGGGATTCATAAAATTTGAGTCTGACGTCTCGCTATTTATTCGTCATCATTCTCATGCCACAGTGTACCTACTGGTATATGTGGATGGCATTATTGTTATTGGAAGCAATACTTCAGTGGTTAATCAAGTTATTTCTTTCCTTATAGCTAAATTTTCTGTAAAAGATCTTGAATGTTTCACCTACTTTCTAGGTGTTGAAGTCATTAGAAGCGCGGATGGTATTATTATGTCACAGAGTAACTATACAAGTGATATATTGCGTGAGGAGAATATGGCTGATTGCAAACCTGCTAAAACTCCAATGAGTACTACTGAAGTACTTAAGGTCAAGGATGGTGGTTTATTGACTGATGCAACTAGATACAAGAGTGTATTTTAAAGGTATATATGTGCCCACGTGGACATATTACTATTTAGAATTTTGCATTATTTTTTTTGTCCACGTGGGAAAATATATATGTTTAAAATACAGTATTAAATAGTCTAGGGAGGTAATAGGTCCTCATGAAAGTTTAGTATCGCAACAGCTAATCCGGCCAAAGTTGGGGTATTTTTCAGACCCTTATCTCTAAAATTTATATATAATTGTTATTTTCATTTCTTTCTTTGCAAAATATTTATTTTCATTTCTTTCTCACTTTAAAGTTTTTTATTCATTTTCTTTCATTAATTTGTTTCAGTTTATATAATGACATTAGAAATGTAGTGAATTTGCTTTTTGAAAATTTCAATTCAATTATTTAAAATTAGTATTTACATGTGAACATTAATTATTAATTGGCGTTTTTAATTCATAACATCTTATTATTATTTTGTGTGGTGATATTAAGAGTACAGTACTGTACTTTTCCTTATGTCTAAGTTCTTATAAGTCTTTTTAATTAATAAAACGTACTGATTTTTCTGTTATCAAACAGAAGCGACAACATAATAGTCGAGAATATAGACTAATTTTTCTATTGTAAATTAGTCTTGCGGAAAAAATTGGGTAACAAATCTTCTGGCAGAGTTGCAACTTAAACTTCAAAAAGTCCCAACTATCTGCAGTGATAATGTTGGTGCAACGTATTTATGTGTGAATCCTATTTTTCACAGTTGCATGAAACATATTGCGATGGATTTCCATTTTTTGCGCAAACAGGTTCAGCTCAAGCAAGTTTATGTTGTCCGTGTACAATTGTTAGATAGAAATAGTTAATTACTATTTTATTAGTCATTAGTTAGTGTTGATTTTGACCATTGGTTTACAGCTGCTCTTTTACTTTTGATATAGACCATTACAATTCCCTAGCGGTTTTTAGGCTTAGCATTATCTCCCCAGTTTGTGGAGTTATCTTAGGAAATTGTTTGACTATTGTGTATATTTATTTCAATTTCAGCAATAAGAATAATAAAATTCTACAACTTATCTTGTTTCTTTATTTTGAACAAAAAAATAAAAATTCGACTAAAAAATATTAAATCATAATATAAATTTGTGTAAGTTATCGTGAATGTTAAATGATAATCGTCTAATATTTTGTTATTAAGATTAAACAACATAATAGCAAAAAATTTATATTGTCCAAAAGGAAAATTTTCAAGTACATTTACACATACTTATAGAATCTAAATAATTACCTATAAAGACCATATGCATAAACTAGCCGGCTCAAAATCAAAATGTTTAATTGATTCATGATTAGTCAATATATCCTTTTAAGGATAGTCAATACATCCTTCCAGAATTGTTGCTACATTTTAATTTTTCCTTCATTTCAACATGTCTATATTACATACAGTCCAAAAGACAATAAAATTATATTATGATTCTAATAATTCACCAAAAGGTAAAAAAAGAATTTGAAAAATTAACACTTGACAAACATCTAGCAGATTGGAAGAGGAGCACCATTCCAGCTCTTGAGACACTCCAACAATGGATCAATGATCTGTCCATTGCACATTGCTGTGAACACCTTTTCAATCTCCTCGCCCGGCGATCGAACTTTTTCACCTGTCAACAGTTCTGTTCCAAGTTCTTGTCTCACCAACCTGTACAATGGATATGATCTGCATTCTGTGATCCTGTTAGGAATCGAAGGGTTGCCACTTTCAAGAAGAGCTCTTGCACTCTCAACTTCTTTAGGCAACACAGCATTTAATTCGTCCTCGAAAGCTCCAATCTTTTGGAAGATTGAGCTGTTGATATTCTTCTCACTTTCACCATTCTTCATTGCATGATCAACAAGGACCTGTCTCAGCTTCTGCATCAAAGGATAGGTGGAGCTGCAGGGGTCATCAGCATAGGTAAACAAGTATTCCCTGTCTACGACTCGAAGCAATTCCTTCTCGCAGAATCTTGCTGGATGAAGTTCACCAATAGCACCTATTGTCAAAGTTCTCTTAGCTACTTGGCTAACTGTGTTCTTGACAACACTCTTCAAGTTCTCCTCCAAATGCCTCAAATCGATAGCCTGGCAAAGCGCCACGAGATAGGTTGATGACATTAGCTTTAAGATGTCGACAGCCTCAGCTGTTTTCCTTGCTGAGATTAAGCCTAAGGAGTTCACATCTTGGTTGTGTTGCTCGGCACTCTGAACATGGTTAGTCACTGGATTTGCCAAGAATTGAAGTTCCGAGCAGTAAGAAGCCATCGCGATTTCAGCTCCCTTGAAACCATAGTCCAAGCTTGGATTCCTTCCTGCTGTGAGATTAGATGGCAACCCATTGTTGTAATAGTCGTTGACAAGCTCCGAGAATTGGGCAAACATCAATTTCCCAATTGATGCAAGGGCCAATCTTGTATTATCCATGGAGACACCAATAGGGGTACCTTGGAAGTTGCCACCATGTATGGCCTTGTTTCTTGAAACATCGATCAATGGATTGTCGTTGACTGAGTTGATCTCCCTCTCGATCATCTTTGTTGCAGCACGAATGACTTCAATCTGAGGGCCAAGCCATTGTGGAGATGTTCGGAGAGCATAGCGATCTTGCTTTGGTTTTTGAAGAGGATCCATTTCATGGAGCTTCTGAGCTGCCTTGACATAAGAGCTGCCATCCAAAATGTGTTCCATAATAGCAGCAGCCTCAATCTGACCAGGGTGATGCTTCAACTTGTGTGTCAAATAGTCAGTGAATTCGGGCTTTCCGTTCATCACTTCAGCGAAAATCGCTGATAAAACTTCAGACATAACAGCAAGAATGTTGGA